TTGCCGCCCGACGTGAACGAGTACCGGGGGAGTTACCGCCTTGAACCCTGTCTGGCCCGGCCCGCCAATGGCCTGCAGCGTGTGGGCTGCTAGCAGCAACACAGAAAATATGGCTTCCTGAAACTGAATCCGAAACAATGCCAAACGTGGAGCCCAGATCAAGGCAAAGAAATGGAAGACTCCAGATTTAGTAGAAATCAAGGAGCGTGGCGGATTGGGGTCCTTGAGCCGGAGCAAGGCATTGGGCCAAAACGTGTGGGTCCCGAACAAATTGATTTGCCCCCAGAACCTTCCTGTCACTTCCTGTTCACCGTACACCTGGCCCGAAACCTCCGGAACCTTCACACCTGCCCTGCACCAGACCACCCCGGAACCTTTACTTGAGCCGCCCGCTGACCACCCCAGAACCGCCAGAAATAATTGCTTGAACCTGAAACCTGCACCAGACCGCACCAGAACCTGCCAGTCGAGGTCGCGGCGAGACAAAGCCTCCGGCGACAGACCACCCGGAACCTCCGGAGCCTGAACCTTACACCTGCCCTGCTCGAGACCTTTGCACCTGGCCTGTGCCAGGCACCCCGCAACCTCGGAACCTTATCCCAGAACTTCCGAAACCTTTCTTGAGCCTTACACCTTGCACCCGGAACCTCCGGAACCTTGCTCGAACCTGAACCTGACTCCAGAGCTCCCCCCCTGAGCCACCCGCAAACTTGTCTGGGCTGAGACCCCTTAGCTTTCAGCTGTTGGGGAACAAACACACAAACATACAAAGAAACAGACAAACAGACAGACAGAAAGACAGACAAACATAACAAATAAACAAACAAAAAAACAAACGAACATTCAACCAATAAGCACATCCCATAATGTTCAAATCGGACATCTTGCCAGAAACAAAAACTAGAGTGCAAGGGTCAAAGACAAGGCTCGTCAGCTCGGAAATTTGGACTGCACCGCATCATCAAAAGTACCTCGTAGTGTTCATTGTGCTGCTTTGTGACTATACCTCTTTTCGACTTGGTTGGGGAAACCACAAAGGACACCACCCATTCCAGGGTTCCTATGGTCCACATGGGACCTGTGAAGAGCTTGCGGCCGGACGACTCCCTCAACCTTTGCCTATAAAACCTTTTTGTCTAAGGGGGAGGCAAAGGCGACAGAGTGCCATACAATATGCCCCTGGGGGCGGGGGTTGGATAAACCGCAAAGAAAGCAACACGTGAGCCATCTCCGTGCCTTCTTTCTTCCACAGCCATTCGGAAGCTACGCTGATATGATCGGCGATCCGTGGTCACTTGAGGGAACAAAGTGAACCAAGGTCTCAAACGGACCATCCCCCAGCTCAAATGGGCCCCCTACTCCAAATACCTCTGCTTTAGTTGGTGCTTTGAACCACCTGGTTCTCCATGGCATTTCCTCCTTTGTTAGTAGTGGGTTGACATGATACCCTAGGCGGGTGTTTGGAGTAGGGAATCATCTCGGCCATTGGTGGAAGCAGAATCGACAAGGGTCTATGTTTCATGCTATTGAACATCTCCGAGAGAAAATGTCCCGGTCCGGGCAAACCCCAAACTGTCACAACTGCGCTTCCAACTTCTAGGCTTTCTTCAATGAGCTTCAAATACTTCAAAAAACATATCTCTTTCCAAGTCTCTCACTGGAATGGGTTGAAGACCGTTCCCAGCAGCACGAGTGCCAGGATGGCCACCACATACTCAGTCTTGTACTCTCCCACCAGTCCCGACTCCTCCGACTTGGAAGTCTCTGGGCTTTTTGGCGCCTCAGCGCGGCCCACGCGGCTTCCGGGCTCCGAAGCAGAGCCACTGGGACGGCTCACGGGTTTCACGGCAAACGTCCAGAGGCCAAGGTTCAGAGCCACGATCAATGCGCAGAGCCCAAAGCTGCGACCGCGCATGGCTGAACAGAAAGAGTAGCACTGCTTTTGTGGTATGCTCTGGCTGCAAGGTGCTGCTTCTGCGCACTTCTCTTGCCTTGGGAAGTTAATAAGTTGCTATGCTGTCGAAGAAGTCTGCTTCACTTGACCTCTTCAGGAAATCATATTGCAGTGCTTGTGGAGATTCAGGTTTGACTCAAATCTGCAGAGCAACCACCATCTCGAAGTAACCCGAGTCCCGGGGCAATACTTCTGACAAAACTTTGGCCCACTTCCGTGAAGCGGAAGAAATGGATCCAGGTTCTTCATGTGTCACGTAGCTTCTTTTTTGGTTGAAAAGGACTCCTCTGGCGGATTGCCTCTGAATCTGCTTGTGAGCCATGGTCAGCCTATGCTGCTTTTGAACATGAGGAAGTTTTCTAGGGGTACCTTCCATGTCCATTCTTTCCAGGGATCCTTCTTTTCAGGAAACCATCAAAAACCCGGGGGAAACAGATCCGGTTTTTGAAAAGAACGATGGTTGAAAGGAATGGCCAAGGAATCAACCCCTAGAAGCTTAGTCACTGTCGCTCCGAAACTCACCATCGGCTCCTGGATATTTTGACCGAACCTCATGATCTGCACAGATCTGCACTCACTATTGCCCTCCTGTCCACTAACATGGAACCCAACCACAGGGCGCCTTCAAAAGGAAACTGGTCTTCCAGGACCCGCCGTGAGGTTCCATGTTTGTGGATAGCGTATCATTCAACCAGAATGAACCTGCACTAAAGGACATGGATCCAACAACCGATACATTCGGGTAACACGGTAACACTGTCCATATCTCCGAATCTCTAAGCAAATGGTCTGCCATGGGTCGCTCCTCTCTACACGTTCCTGTGTCTCAAAATAGCTTCCCAACAGGGTAATGTTAACCCCGGCTTAATAAACCCGGGTTGATTTATAGGGGGGTGTCTCCTTTTAGTGGGGATTCATCACTTTTGGAGGGAACACCCCCCTAATAATGGGACGTGTTTATTAATCCTGGGTCAACATTACCTCGAAACAGGAAAAACCACTTATAATTATTTCCGTTGGGTCGGTTGCCAGTCTCGAGACTTCGGAATTGGATTCTCCATTGGATCAACGACAACGCCAGCTCAAGCTAGCCCCGCGATATTTGTTTTTAGCAATATGAAAGCCACCCCCGTGGTAGGTAAACCACCCCAGCTTGTGACCTTGATAACCCCTTGAAACAGCTCCCAACATGTCTGCTGAACACCGCCCCACTTTTCATGCACTCGTCTCTTGGGCGGCTCGATCACTCGGGCGCGAAAACGGCTTGAGGGGTCGCCTGTGCAGGTCGCAGCGCTCCAGTTCTGAATTTGCATGGGGTCTCAAACATAGGGGACCCCTATTTCGGTTCATGTCCCTAGCAAAAACACACACTTTAGGGGAGCGAAAAAGCACAAACACAGACCTGCATTGGCCCATTACTCACCCCAAAATTGACATAAAACAATTGGATGTGGCCTTCGTGGCACTCTCTCTCTCCTTTTGGCTTCTCCCCCACCCATAGCCATTGGAAGATGCGGGTCCCGTAACTGGAATTTCCTGCGGTGATTTGCCAAGTTAGTAAGTTGTTGGTAACGTAGGTACTTGCAAGTCCCCTTAAGCAAGTTCAACCTTGTTATTAGGGGGTGAAGAACCCCAAGTGGCTAACCACTTACTAACTTGGCCGAACACCCAAGCAGAGACATAGCCGGGACTACCCCGGGATGCAGGGGGACATTTTGTGAGTTTATGACCCCAAAAGATTTTGGCTGCATACCGAAACCTCGCGTGGTAAAAAACTTCTGTAGTTGCCATGGTGTTGGTTACCTTGATCATGTGGATGGACTAAATCCTGCACCGCCTAAGAAACACAAACATGGTTCTTCTCATCTCATGAGTGACTAGGTTTTCTATAGTTTCATGACCGTCACCAAATCCAGGGTGAAGTTTTGACCACGCACATGCTCCGGTTGAAAGCCAAGACACACACAATTTAAATTGGCAACCGAAAGGTGAGGTGGAGAAAACACACACACAAAGAACAATCTAAGATCCCATGTTTCTCGCCCCCCAAAGCAAAGCCGGAAATTTATCGTGACAGTGTCTTTCTGGAACGTAGCTAGCTCAGGGAAACAATCCTCTCTGGTGCCCAATTGAGAGGATTCTTCGCTTTTGGGACAAGCACCTGCCCAAGAAACATGATGCCCTGATTTGTTTGCCGTTGACAAAAGGCAACCAGGTACTACAGGGGCGCAATTCGTGTTGCTCCTGGCTGAGAATGGTCTGTGCGCTGCAAGCTGCGCATCAGCTGAGCGATCTATTCGAAAACGCACTCGGGCCATGTCAGGGCAATTCGACAGCCCGAGCTGCTTGGATTCAGGCGATGTTCAAAGGCTGGGTCTGAAGGGGTATAAGGACTAATTGAGCAACAAGGATATATAAGTATAGCCGGCCGGGGTCGACTGATGTGTGTGTCGCCTACTGTTGATGGACCACTGCTGCACCAGTTGATAGATGCTTCTTCCATCCTAATTGGTCTAGGACTTCGTCTATCCACAGCGACCTCATTTACGGCTTGACTGTCATGCTTGGATTGATCCGGAGGGCCTCTTTTGTATCTTATTTTCTGGGAGCTGCGTTTCGGTGAGAAAATGATCTCATTTCAAAGATATTCCACTTCGTATGGCCTCCTTCCGACAGGCGACCACAATTTTCAGCCGCAGGTGTCAACATGGGATGCACCCACCTATGGCAGGCAAACCTAAAGTTTGGGTGCCCGCACGCCAGTCCGCAAATCGAACGACCCCGCCAGTCGTCCGAAATGTGGTTTCCCTGTTGGCCTTATTGAACACATTTGTGCCATAGTCACTGATACCAATGCAATCCCCCATGAATGTGTCTGGGGTCGGAAACCAGCGCGATCTCTTCAATTCCCCCTTATGTGGCGTCTGATTTGTTGAGGGTACCATTTTCGGGCTTGGTTCAAAAGAAAACCAAGTGGAAGCCTGGCCCCAAATTCCTCGGAGACAACCCCATGTAAGACCCCACAGCTTAGGCTTTGGCCTATGTCCTCCAAAGCGGAAGGCATGCTTGGGGGTCCCATGACCACACAACCCAAGACCAAGGCCCTTCCCCGGCCTAAGCTCAGGTGGGGGTCTTCTGCGTGTCATCCACCACTTGGGTGAACATCATCGGCGCCCTCAGGATGCGAGGAAAGAGTAAAACAGCATGGCACCAGTTCCCTTTCTGCTGGGGAAACCGAACAAAAACATGTGCCACTCTCACGTCCACATGGAAGTGAAGAGGAAAACTGTCTTCCAGGAAGCTTCAGTCAGGTTCTATGGCAGAGTACATCCACCAACCGGCAACAAGAGACGAGGGGTTTCGGGTTCGCTACTCAGCTGAAGCCTCGAGTGAAAGGAGAGGCACCTCCACCAAGTTCTGACCTGAGATCTATGGTCCATGGGTGTTCGGCCAAGTTAGTAAGGCGACCTGGGCGCGAACCCACTTACAAGAGCCCCCCAAGTGGGGGTAACCTTGTTTCAGGGGGTGAAAACCCCAGGTGGCGGTCCCCACTTACTCAGTGTGCGAATCGAACACCCAAGAAGGCCAAAGGGCGAAATCCGGGTGGAACCAAACTCGTACACAAATGAAAGCCGCCACTCCAGAACCCAAGACAGGCCGCCTTTGAGGTGACAAAATGCGGCTGAAGCGACTTTTTCGGATAGGTAACCCCACCAAGGGGCCAAAAGAAACTTTGAAGCCAAAAGGAACTTTTCAGACAAGCATAAGCCACACCAGACATTTCTCGCGGGTTTTGGGCCAGTGAGAAACAAGCCTAAGCCACGCCATGTGTTGTGCGCAGGTTTTTGTAGGATCCAACCTGGTTGCCTGAGGCCTTAAGGTTCTAACTCGAGAACTGGGAAACATTCGGGGTTAAGGGGAGAATTGAAATCTCCTGTTAAAATTTGGGTCTTGAAAACACGGGGAAACCTCAAATATTGTCCAACCTATGGACATCAAAGGAAACTCCCAGGCGGGTATATTGATGGACTGGTTCGTATTGCAAAACCCGCCGGGCTCCCGGCGGTAGCCTCTCCCCAGGCCTGTGCTTCTTTTCGCTCGGCTTGTTTTTTGTTTTGTACCTTGAGGGTCCAAGGACCTTAACTTTGACCCAATTGGACCCCTCGAATCTGGGCAGTCCATTTTCTGATCCCCTAAAGCACATGTTTCTTTCCAAGGTAGCTACAAAGGACCCCATGTCAACGTCCCGGACAGAGAGGTGATGTGCACAGGGGACATGTTTACGGAAAAAGCTCAACTAACGGCATTCATGTCTCGTGCCAATCCAGCCGGTCTATTGTGAGTTTACACTGGTAACGCCCAAGAAGTCTGGAAACCACCATCCATGCTGGCCTCCTTTGAGGGTGTTGAGGCCGTGGGATTGAATGGACCTCACATGATTTAACACCACACATGAACAATACACCTTGATGGTGCTTGGGCACGTCGTATTTTGTCATGTGCTTGTAGATGCGGACACCTTCCGTTCTTTTGTGCCCCTAAACTCACTTGCCTACAATGTTGTGATTTAACAGGTTGGAGGGTACCCTTTCCCGGTTGATTTAAACATAAACCAACGGGAAACCATTTGTTGGGGGCCCAACCAATATCCCCATTTGTCTACCCGAAGTTTTCTTTGTACACCAGAGTGAAGTAGTAGCAGGTTGTTTTTTTGATGGGCGTCCTTTTCCTTGATTCTTGGATGTTCAACCCACCTACAGAGTAGGTTATCACCATGATTATAAGGGAACCAACCCCAGCTACCCTAGATAGAACCATGGCTAGAACCTACCTACCTCACTTCCTCGGTGGATTGGCAACAAACAATCTGAACTTACTTGTTATTTACCACTAAAACGGTCCAACCCAACAAAGCCCCTAAGGTCCAGGAACGCAGGGAGTGAGTTACCTGACGCGAATCAAACATCCAAGTTCGACCTTCCCGCTCGCATCAGATCTCTGGGCCATTGGCAGCTTCTCCTCCAACTCCTTGTAGATGGGCCTAGCGATTTCCCCAGCGATTCGTGTCACCGTCGGTGTTTCAATCCGACCGGTTGAAACCAGCCCAGTTTCGGTGTCAAAATGGCCATGGGTTCATTGATACGTGGGTGTGTTGCCAAAAATTAGGGGCTCGCGGACATCAGAATTTGGGGATTCATGTCCTCCAGCCGGTTTTAGATTCGCTCCCTAGTCATATTCATAGCCGCATTTCTTGGGGGGCATTTGTACCCCTGTGGTGAAAAGTCCTTTTCTGGCAAGTTTAACAATGCATCTGGAGGCTGTTTGCAGCTACCCGTTTTTGCTTTTGGGGCCCATGTCCTCCCCCTTGTTCCCGAACACGGGAGCCTTTTTCGGGAGCCACCTCTTGCAGGGTGTTCAAAGGGCGGCCGAAAGAACACAACCAATCTTGGATTCTCCTATTTCGAGGAACACCCTATCCAGGTGCAATCCAACAAGCACCAGCACAACACCGAAAGCAAACACATGCGCCAAAACATGCTTAAGCGGACAAAAGGAGTGCAACGGCAACCGGTTTTCTTTGGGACAATCTCGAAGTAAGCTGTTCCTCCTTTTTGGATGTTACCATGATGTTGTTTTGTGGTTTTTTGAAGAAGCCCACTTGAAGCCAACTACAATGACAGGGAACCAAATTCAATTTTCTGAACCTCCAGAGGTTGAATGAACAAAATTGCCACCTGACGGTATTTAACTTGAATCTCAGGGTTGACTCCTCATTCCCTGCACTTACCGTTTTCTTCAGAAACAACCAATTTCCCACGATTGCTTGCTCTTTTTTTTCTGACGGGAAAAGTCCGGGCAGCTAGAGTTGAAGGCCACCCCTCTCCCCAATAGTTGGAGCTTGGAAAAAAGAACCTACCCACACATGAATTGTCCAACTTGCCCGGATGTGGCGCATGCCAAAGCATCCACTTCAGATGAGTCCTTGTGGGGTTCCATCCCAGGATATGGCTTGGCGCCCAGTCAAAGGGGCATTCCAGGGCCAAAAATAATGTCTGGAGCCCTACTTGTGGGTCGCCCTACGACTGGTTTCCTGCTGGTTTCCCTTATGCCAAAGTTGGTCCGAAACTAAATTTGAGAAAGCTTCCGCGAACCTTACGCGCCTGCTTACACGAACCTTACGCGCCCTAGCCCCTTTAGTCTTCCCAAATCAGATGTTTCAGAAGCCTGTTTCGCCCTGGGACGGGTTTCAACAGCACCTCGCATGAGCCCCAAGAGCCAAGGAAAGTACTGGTTTTGTTTTCTAGCGTGCGCACCGGTCTTAGACGTGCCTTGCAGCCAAAGTCTCCCGACAACTTGCCATCGACTAGGTTGAAACAAGCAATAAACACATACGCACATGTGCGAAACAACTCTTCCGTGCATGCTTGTAAAGCTTACCAAGCAATCACAAAGCATGTTTCCCCCAAAAGCGCTTACTCCGGCTACGCTTTACAGGGTGTTGCTTGCGCACCACCTTCTTGTGACACAACTCTTGCTTGGATATAAAGGTGGGTTTTAGAGCTGCTCAATTGGCGTCAAACAAAGGATAAGCACAACACACATTGAATCTTATCACAACTCTATCGGGCTAAAAACTATGAATCGCCAGCTTGAATTAGGGATGCCACGTCAGGCGGGAGCAAAACTTGGCGCGAGCCCGTTCTGCGCAGAGGAGACCCTTGACTTTTGCGGGAAACACCTCCCCCTACGAACACTACCCACGACTCAATGACCTTTGATGACTGAGCGAGAAACCTGTTCGCCTTTTCCCCCAAGGTTACCATGTTTCTTGGCGAAGCCAGTATGCATGCCTTCGATTTCTTGCGAATTTGCACGGGTGGAAAATGATCATGTGCCAAGCCGTCACAGCGACAGCCCAAATGGCAAAGAAGACAACCATGACCATAGTTGTCCTTCTGGAAAATAGACCATCTAGTTCTAAGCAAACTAACCTAAAAAGGACACCTATGATCATGACTGTGTCGGGTAGCCTGCGTGGGCCTTGTACAAAAACATTGAGTGGCACAAAGCGCTCGCGTTTTCGTGCGATCATGTTGGTCGCGGAGCCTGAGGGTGCCGCCACACTCAGTACTGGGCTGTCCTCAGATCCTTTGCTGAAAGTTGACAACCTTTAGTGGCTTAAGTTCGGAAAACCAAGCACAAAACCAACTAAACACAACTACACGCATAATTTGTAGATGCAATTGAACTCATAGATTGTCTGCTCCACGGCTGTTTCGCCAACCACATGGTGCGTATGACGGGTATTGGCCCGCCAGCCAGATCTCCGCATAGCTTGCCGTTTTCGTGCTTGCGGAACGCGTTTTGGGCTTCAGAACACACACAGGCAATGCGGAACAGTCATGACTTGTTTCCCCTCAACAAAAATCCCCGTGTTGCAACTTGTTTGATGCTTCTTTTGGATGCTCTCAAACATATGGGATGTCTGGTCTTTCGATGCGCAACCTGTGGGAGCAAATGGAGCAAAGGATCCCCACCTCAATGCAGCACGCCGCTGGGCGTCTCCAGTAGTCCACTGCACAATGTCTATGTAGTCATACCTGGCACGGATAGAGGTCCTAGCCCTGAGCAAAAGGTGGATCACATTTTGGTTTGGTGGAGAAAACCACTGATTCCAACAAGTCTAAGGGGCCCAGCCAAACACCAGCCATGTTGTTCCAACGCTGGGTCAAACATTCACATTTGATGTTTGCATCATGCATCATCATTCCATACCAGCCGGTGAAATTGGCCAAACATCATGGACATCATCTTGACATCTGGACTACGTATAGGCCGGTTCAAAGCCAGATGGACCCCTTCAAAATCGAAATCAGCGTGATCAAAACTATTGTGTTGAGCGGTACTCGAATTGATGCAGTTTGGGTGTGTCTCAAAATGGGGGTCCCAAAAATGACAGGTTTCCAATAGGTTTCCCTTTAAAACCAATCCCAGAAAGTATCCTCAAAATCAAACAATAACATATTATGTACGGTAGAAGGACATCTCTGCAACCTCTTTGGAACTTGCGTGGTATCACTTCTAATTGCAAGCAAGCTCTCTGACACACGGTCTGGACGACAAAAAGTGTGCGCACGCGAGGCGGAGAAATAGAAATGGTCAAAAAGTGCAACCCTCTGCGCTTCTTCTGGATGGTCGAAAGTTAGTCTGATCGCTCCACCTGGTTGGAGCACTCTCAGAGCGACTTTCGAGCGTGTTTGGAGCAGGACGGGCGCACTTTTCGCAACATTAGTTCGCGCGTTCGCAGGTTTGGTACGGATTTTGTGGCAGAAGCAGCACTTTCGCAGGGTCAGGCACAGATGTTGTGCCAGGCACAGCCGGAAAGAAGGAAAGAAGAAAAGAAGGAAGGAAGGAAAGCACGGGAAAGAGACAAACAAATCAAAAGACATAGTGACATGAACGATGACAGACAGCAAGAAGAGAAAAAGAAAGAAGAAAAGACGGGGAAAGCACCATACTTCTCATGTTGAAACTTCCGCCCACCTTTGCCGGCTCTACTGGTATTTGCAACGCAGCCGCCGGTTCTGTTCGGCTTCGACTTGGGAAGTCCCTTGGAGGTTTCGGGACCCCCGAGGTTTCGTGGCGAGGAACGCCTGCAGCTCTGGACCCCAGCTTGACCGGCGGTTTCTTTTTGGCTTGCCTTATGGAAAAACGGAGCTCAGGACACAAAACAAAAACCATGTCAGGTCAACTCAGTGAATCGTGATGCGTCCTAAGGAACCTTCATCAGCCTCGAGATCGTTCTGCCTAAACACTGCGCGAGTTTTGCTGGTCAAATGGGCAAGTCCCCTACATCTGCTCTAACCATAGCCTAATATTCAGGTGCCTTGTCCTAACAACGACCCTCCGGTGGCGCAGGCAGCAATCGCACCCGCGCGTGCGGTGTTTAGTTGGCGGATCTGCTTGGGAAATCACCCACTTAAAAAGGGCCCCTGAACCCAATGTCCAAGACACCAGCATCTCGGGTAGGACATTCCCCCAAAAGTAAACTAGGGAAGTCCTCAACATGCTTCAAGGTCCCCCTCAGGTGAAACAAAAGACATTTACTTCAATAAGAGTAGTTCAAGCCTGGATGTCAGGGCCGTAAAATCCTCACACGCCATCCCCTGCATTTCTTTCTGAACCGAAAAAATCTGCCGACGCCGCGTCCGGTTCTGGTAGCCCTCGGAGCCTCAAAAGCAGAAGGAAGCCAAAAGAGGGATGGGCCCGTGACTGGCATGACTTCTCCCCGGGCTGTCCTCGGATCCCATGCGAAAAGTTGAAAACTTTTTGTGGGCTCAATGGAACCCCCCCTATTCACGCCGACTCAAAACCCGAAAGCCTAGGAAACCAACTGGCTGGGACTGGGAGCCACCAGGTTCAGCAGAATAAAAACCAATCCAATGCGCTCAGTCTTGTCCAGGTCCGGTACCTGGAGAAAGCCTTTGGGAACACCCCTGGAGGAAAACCGTCAACGTGTGCTAAGTAACAGGAGAAAGGGAACCACTGGCAGTTGCTGACCTTGACAACTCCCCAAAGCAGTCAAGATGAACGACCCAAGTAAAAAGCAGCCACATGACGGAATGAACATGGCCGAAGATAAATGCTTCTGGTTTCCTTTTTCTGATTGTGTTGTTGGTGATTACCCGGGAAATGAAACATATCGGGTTCAATGAGAGCGATCCCATACAAATCAAAAATGCCGGTAAAACTGCTTATATTCTCTTAAACACGAGCCGTAGGTTTAGGGGTGTCCCATGGGTAGGTTTCAAGTCGGATAAATTGAGAGATGTCTACTTTAGGGGACACCCCCCCCCACCAAAAAAATAACACCAAAAAAATGTGTTTCTGTGGTTTCCCTGTAAAACAGACCAAAAAGGGGTACTCTCAAAGAAAAGACCCCCCCCCCCACGTTCTTGATGAACAACTATGTCAAAGTGTTCTCATGGTGTCCAAGGTGTCAGCATGCACGCTCTCTGAGACAAGAGCGCGGATCGGCTTTCATGAACCTCAGCTTTTGGCGTTCCGGCAAGCTCCCTTGGCTGATAGCTATGAAGCAGCGGATCTCTGCCCCAGACTTCCAGAGAGTTCTGAGGCGTGGGGCTGGGCCTCGGGGTCGGGGTCGGGGAATCAAAGGCCGGGATATTTCTCGGGGAACCATCTTGTCGACTCAAGTTATCAACCTCGGGCCTTTTTTGAAGGCCCAAATCAGGCTGCAAGGATCATTCCTTGGAGGATACCAGGGGCGCCCACCTGAAGCTTGAGGCCGCTGGACTGCCGAACCCGGCGCTCAATGGACACAAGAGACAAACAAATACCTCCAATGATGAGGAAAACAAACAGCGCGCACCCTTTGTTTGGCAGTTCATTTACCAGGAACCCTGTCCCCATATGTTTTATATATATATAATATCAGAGTGTTGTTTTGTGGTGGAAACGGCATTGGAGGTCTGGATTCTGAACAAGATTTGGACCGAGTAGGTCTGCCGTTGCAACTGCCATTGTAGAGCTATCTATATTCAGAATGTTGCCTTTGGGTATTGAAAATTGGTAATGAAATCCAACCTGATAACGTAGTATATTGGCCTTCCTGCAAGCACTGGGTACTGTCATCCAAGTCATCCTGAAAAACATCAAAGCCCCAACCTCAGGAAGGTGGTAATCACACACACAGTAAACAGCACGCAAATGATATACATACGCAACTCGTCAGTGAATTCAACATGATCATGTCTGAAGTTGCTTGGTGGCATGTCCTGTCACTATCTCTTTGGGTCGGAAGCCCCCGAAGAGAAACACATCGATCAACTTGCACAGGCTCTTTGTCAATGGTGGAATCGACAGAGCTTGTCGAACAAATCAAAGGAAGTAAAGGCGTACCAAAGCTCAGCATGCTTTAGTGATTTAGGTCCGCAGCTCCCAAGAAACTTCCCTCAGTGGAATGCTGTGTGTATAATTATGTATATACAAGCTCATATGTCCTGTGGTTTGTAAGTGGTTGGGGGGTAGTGGCTTGTACACCATCTTGGACGCAAGCTCTTTCAAGTCGAAGCTGTCTGAGTGTGCCTCTTCCAAACCGCGCTGAGTGTCTTGGAAACAAACTGCAATCTTGGACCAACCTCTTCCCCGTGGGGTGCACTCCATGGCAAACTGGAGGTCGGACCACAAAACGGGTGCTTCACAGCCTAAGCGCATGGTCTGGTTGAAAGGCCTCCCTTGTACCCACGGCGAATATAATGAATGGGAACGAACCGTCCTTTTCTTGATTGGGCCCGGTACTCAGTACTTAGGCGGGATTCGGGATTACCCAACCAAACAAAGAAACCAGAACAGTACACAAAACAAGAGGGGTCCTTTCATTTAGGATTCACCCCCCTCCACCCCCAAAAGAAAAAACACAAAACACCAGACGTTTTCGGTCGTTTCCGTGGCTTTCTTGCTTACCGAGCTCATTCTTGTCGAGGCCTTCGGCCTTCTCTCCCTCTCCGCGCCTGGTGTACAAATAGCCCTCCTGGCGCTGGTTGAACTTGGCCACCTCCTGCGATTGACATTTTCGATTCCGAGGATTCCGAGGTCCGAGGGAGTCCCAGAATGGTCCCCTAAGTGACCAGCAGGTTTTCACCATCAACAAACCCCAGCGAGATTTTGCCCCCAGCTTTGAATTTTCCAGTTGCTGTTGATTCTCAGGATTTTGCTGGGAGGCGGCTGCAGGGTAACCTGCCCACCCCCCCCCACCCCCGAACACACCCCGACTGTGGATGGTTGCGAAACCCATTTCGCACCACCTCAGAAACCCAACGGAATGATGCGCCCCTGTAAGTACCAACAAACAATGGTTTGCCATGGTTTCCAAGTGGTGCACGAGTTCGTCCATCCACAGTACTACTAGGACGGAGTTTATTTGTCCGGGCCTCCCCAGCTATCAAATGGTTTGTTCTGTGACCTTCTTCGGGCGAAATCGGAGCCATTTGGCAGCGGCTGGAACCCAGCTTGCTGCTGGCGGGGTATTGTTGGCTACAGTGAGTGATACTAGACCCAGTAAAATGATATCCTCGAACAATTACCTTCACACACCTTCACAGCTATGTTCAGCAGAAGTAATTTTGAGAAGCCTGTCCAACCTGCCTGTCCAACCCTTGGTATGGTAGCCCAAAATATAGTTTTTTGCAGGCCATTCTAAAATTGAAAATGAACAGAACCAAGAAACCTAAAAGTCTAGAGCATTGCCAACAACAGTGAAGAAAAACCAATGTCACTTTACGAGATCCAGTATAACCCGGTAATACCATAGCTAGCTGACACCCTCAAAATCACAGAGGTGCAAAAAAAAGGACACCACTCCCTTCGCAAGTGATTTTGAGGACCAAAGCCGCGGTTTGGACTCAGTTGATCAACCCAGCCTGTGACCGGAAAACCTAAGGGCCGGAGAGGGCAATGTTTTCCTGGAAAGGACGAAGCAAATACAGCAACCATAGCAACTATTGGACACTGGTGTTCTCCGTTGGGCTTCAGCAGCCGGAAGCCCCACCGTTCATCACTTCAAAGGGGGTGCCTTTGCTACAGGAACCCGAAACCTTATGATTGTCAGGCGCCTGATTGGTAGAGGGTGAGGAGGCATCGCTTCGCCCGCCATCCCACGCCCCTCGCTCACTCACTTCCTCCTTCTCCCTGTTCATCCGGTCGTTCCCTTCATTGGCGAGAACCGTTAATCCGCTACCAAGCGCTGGTGACAATGGATGAGGAAGTACGAGCCTTAACCTGACCACCGGGCTCCAAACAGGGAAGCTTAAGGGGCTCAGTCTTCAGCACGGCCTTGGTAGGTTTCCGCCGCAAGTCATGTCAGGTTTGCACGCGCAAGCAAGCGCGAGAACGTCCTTTGCCATGACAAGCCAAAGCAAACACAACGAACCGAACAAATAACAGTACCACCCTAATTCAGCATTGGACCCTCCATTCAATTAGTCGAGCCGGACCTCCATAAGGTTTTGGACCCATGTACATGTTGTTTTGTCCTATGACACATTCAAGGTCCATATTCTGCCTTTCTCGCGGGAAGCATACGGCATGCATACCTGCCTTCCAGCTCTGCTCGAACTGGTGCTTGTCTTCCTCCTTGACCTTGTACCTCGGAAGCAGGCCTTTCTGTGATCCTTCCTTGCCAGAAGCTTTACTTTCAGTGGGATACAGTGATCAAACTCGCGGAGCACGAAAATGCGGGTTGCCACGCTGGTTTCCCTTAAGCAATCCAGCCCAAGAAGGCTACCCTTAAAGACAAAGACACACACACACACACAAACAAGTCATAGATTGCTTGACACTCAACAACAAAGTGACAGTCACAGGGTGCGGCTGTGAACCTCCAAGTGTTGGTTGCTACTGTCTGACCTCCATGCTGGTCGCCAAGACTGGTCCATACATGAAAGCCTGACACAAATACCCTCAGAAACCAGAATGGACCACAACAACAAATCCATCAACTTGCAAAACCAATAGGACATTGGCCATCCAAAACAGATAGCCAGGTACTACCGTCTGTTGCTCACAGGATCTCGATGTAGTCAAAAGGGACCCCTTTTTTGGTGTCCGGTTTTCTTGTTGATTTCAGTGAAAGCGGTCCGCACCTTCGTCCAAAAGGATGACGACCCTGAGGGCTGCTTCCTGGACAAACAGCAAGGAACTGTGGCCGCCTTGTGGCCGAAATTCCTGCAAAACGGAATCCCAAAACGGGCCTGGCGACGGCAGATTCCTCTAAAGATGCTTTTTTGTGTGGCACCAAGTGAACTTGTACAAGTCCTAAATTCAGCACCCATCTTGACCTGTATCCCGTTCGCCCAATGCCACAAAAATGTGGTTGGTCCGTCCCTGCTAAAAGTTTAATTTCACGTTTTGGTGGGTTAGGTGGAAACCCACCTTGGGAATCGGACGATTCGCTGGGAACCGAGCTGAATATTGCAAGTCTGAGGCCCCGGGCAGGTTCAGAAAGGCATAAGGAGGTGGCCTCAAGACGGCGCTGGCCTTTTCGTTTGGCTGTGGGTCAAAACCCATGGGATCCCATTTTGGGGTACGGGCACCACCCATTTTAGTCTAGTGGGGGTTGGGATGTTCACTGGGGGTACGATTTGGATTTTGACCCATGGCCGTTTCACCTTGTTTTCTTTCCACGAAAGTCGCCGGAAGTGGTAGGTACATCTTGACAAGTTCCTTCTTTTCAACGGTTTGAGGCCGGTTTGCGTGAGGCTGTTTTGTTCATGGTTTATAGCAAACAAGGAAATCACCCACTTACCCCCAGAGACAGTCCACATTAAAACCCCAGCTTAGTTCAAGTTTCAAATCGACCAAAACTGAGATCGGCGCGTTGGTTTGGAATGGCTGGACTCCTTCAAAAGTCTTCAAATCGGGCACCCGAAACATCTGGCACCGCAATAAGCATCAAACGAAAGCCTTAAATCTCGAAGCCCCCCAAAACCGGCTTTGCAAAAAGTGGTCAAACTTGGTCAAAAGGTACGGCCGCAAAATCCAGGGTACCCTCAACAGCTTTGCGAGATCGCCAATTGATCCTGGGTGTGGGACGCTTTTGGGGCAGATTCATGGAGAGTTGCGATGCGGAAGTATTGTACTGTCTTGTGTCAGAGTTCCCCCTAGGATTGGTTCTTACAAGGAAACCAAAAAAAAACACCTGCAAAGTTTTTGGGGCCCCCTATTTTGAGACACGCCTGTGTTGCGCGAAAGATTTGCAGGACGCAGCCGTTCCGTGTCCATCGTCCCGCTCGAGGCAGGCACTTCAGCACTGGGAAGATGTCGTAGACCTGGGCTCGGCTGGGCAAAAAAACGCACGGCCGTGCAATGTGCTAGGTGGTTCGACGGGCAGATCTTGGGAATTTGGAGCATCCAAACACAAAGCAACACGCAAATATGTGGATGGACAACATCCTGCACCAGTTTTTTTTTTAGGAAAGCCTACGAATACTAGAGGAACCTCACCCTGCAGCTGGTGCAGGGTTTTGTTCAGTTCGGGCACGGAGATCAAGACAACAGCTCCTCGGAATAGTGAACTGAACCCACACATATTCAGTAATGAGCCCAAAGGAACACGACCATAATGTTGAAATACCTGGACCCTGAAAATTCCCTTCAACGTTCGTTATTGCCCCAACATTTTGAGGGGCATTCCCTTTATTTATGGGTATTGCGCACTGAAATAAGCCGTGAGTACGGAACCCAGCAGCAATTCTTCATCACGAAGACCGACTTCGTCATTCCGCCTGCGCTCCTGCTGCCTTTTCCGTCGAACGAAGTCTCTCCGCTGATGAGCGTTTTCATCGGCTTGGGCATCCAAGCCGCGTCTTTTCTGTGAAGGACGAAGATCTTGGAGCAAAACTCCGAGCATCCCTTGGTGCTGACCAGAGCTTTGTCGAAACTGACTTCGCCGCTCGCCTGCGGCTCAATCTTGAGTCGCTCCGCTTCCCAGGCAACCTATATTGAGACAGACCCAATTGCTATCTTGCAACCTAAGGCACCCCGGTAAGAAACAAAAATGGTCTCGCCTTACTCCCAGCCGGTAAGCCTTCTATTGAGGGGCATGTGGATTTCTTCGCCTGGAAGAGTATGCCCCTTTCGCCCCCGTTTTGGATGGTATCACCATTCGACCATTTCTGGTCAAGCGCCAATCATTCTCATGAGGGTATGCATCAAAACCAACCACCAAAACAGTGGTCTTTCTTTGGGTTTCCATAAAACACCAACCAACAAGGAATCCCAGGCAGTGTAGAGATCAAAAGCCGGCCGCGAGCTCACAGCTGACAGCCCTTCACCCACGTCTGCATCTGGCCAAAAAAGCGTCGTTCGTAGAAAGGCTCCACTTGCCAACACACCCCAGGGGCGAAACGAATTACCCTCTTTCCAACAATCATGGAAGTGCACAAAGGGGTTTCCCAAAAGGAAAATCGTCTTCCAATTCCCTCCTGTCAACTTCCATGATTGTTGGAGGGAGGGTAATCTCGTTAGAAGCGGACAGGGGGTTCCCCCAAAAGAAAATAGTCTTGCAGACCCATCCTGTCAGCATCCATGATTGTTAGAAGGAAACTATAAGTGGTCAAAAATAATTCGCAGCTCGCTCCTACCATGTCTAGATGTGGTTTCAAATAAGGTCTTGCGGGTGTTTCTCCGAATATGGACATGTTGTTTTAAAGGGAAGGCAAGAGGCAAACAACGAAACCAGCCTGGAGGAATTGGTCCTCATTGTGAGAAGCACCGATGATGTTGAGCCCTAATTAGTTGAGCCCTCAGTTGCAGCATTAGTCAAGGGGGCAAGTGGGAGAAAAGAAACCCCACTAAAACAGGGACCCCCTGACATAACAAGTCGAGATTCATCAGGGGTCGACATTCACCAGGGTGACCCACTAAAAGGAGGACCTTAATCAGGAAACCCTCAAATTGGTGGAATGGATTGGCATGCTGGGGACTTGAACCCCTGGTTCTTGTAGAGGGTAAATGCGAAACAGCCCCTTTCTGACAGTTGCTAGAAAGCAGCGAATTTCCATTAGTTCCCCACCTTGTTTTGGCGGTGGGCATGAACGGAACGTTTGGCATGTGATGCTTTTGTTTCAGCCAATCCTCTCTAGGGCAGTGTGGCACGCTGGAACGTAGTACCCCAAGACCAACCGATTCGACGGATGATTTCGAGGCTCGGGGCATTGTCCACATCGGGGTTGGTGAAGGCATAGCCGCCAGCGCCCCCTCACGCGAGACCCATCCCTGACTCCTGGCTGCCCTGGTAGAGGAAAGGGCAGTTTGGAATACCCGAACAGCAAGCAGAATGCCTGCAGAATGCCTGGTCCTGACCCCTCCAATGGAGGTTTAATTTAATGATACGGGCAAGCCACGCATACGAACAAACACACTTAACAAGCTCGCATTGCAAGAACAGTTCCGAAAACCAAAGGAGTGGCGTTTGCTGCCCGTCGTCAATAACATTCTCATCCTCTGGGTTATGAAGACCAGAAACCATAACTTTTCAGGCTATGGGGGCACTTGACAGGTTTGCTGGCAACCGGACCTGGGCAAGTCATGATCAGACCAGGCCTTTCTCAGTGTGAATTTCTGGGTGCTTCTCAAGATTCGGGACCTCAGGAGGCTGGTGTCCTTTTGGCTTCCCTTCAACACCATCCAAAAGGGGTTTCCTATTTTGAGAAACCCCCAACTGATAGGGCCCCTCACAGCCCCATAAAGATTGGAGTTGCGACAACTGAGAAGTGAACCGTGCCATGCCCCCTTCCCGCTCTGGCGAACCTGTGGCGAACGCCGTCAAGCGGTTGAAGCCTCCCGCCGCATGGCATGGAAAATTTGCCCGACGAGATTCGCCCTCAAGCTGCCAAAGAAACTGAGCTACTTTGTATTCCTGTGACACTTCCGGGGCGTCTACGCGGTACGCAAGCAGGATGTCTGGGAAAAACTGCCTCCTGCCTTGTGTCCTGGAGAAAAGTTGAATATCAAGGCTACTTGGCAAGTAGCCTCCATGGTGCATGCGACAAATATTGCAAGTGGAAGGAAAACCCTGGCGACACAGAGAAAACAGAACCCGGGGGTTGGTTGGATGTGCTTCACCTGCAACTTGAAACTGGTTTCAAAGAGAAGATCAGCTCTCCAACTGGTGGTAAGGATTGGTGGGGTTTTCGGGGGAACAAAGGGTTTAAATCCAATACCTGAGAGCCCCACCCCAGAAAACTGCGGAAAAAAAAACCAAGCCATTTCTGAATCGATGGATTACCCCGAGCCGTCGTTGTCTACCGACCGAAAAGAAGGATCTCGGACTTTGGGGAAAAAATGGCAATCTTGTGGTAGATAACTCTAATCAGGTTGATTCCCCATGCGCTTCACCCATCCAAACTGAATGTTTCGGGGTTGGACTTCTGAAGAGAAGCATCAGGGGATGGCGCGGCTGAAATGGAGAAGTTGTTTCACGAATACAAAACAAGCCAAAAGGTGGCCGCGCAAATGCTTGAAGGATGTTGTGACGACCTAGCTCAACCTGAACCCCCCACTCCGGTAATGATTTCCACGTACAAACACAATCTGAGATGTGGCAAAAGCCAAGCGGCACAACCACTAGCAACATGTCGATCGGGAGGGCAAATAAGTAAATTCGCAAAACCACAACGAGCGAGTCTCCGATTTCGGAAATAAGATCAAAATGAGTCGCCTCTCACGAACCCCCAGACAGAGCAAACCGCGCATCGCGCACTCCATGTTCAGAACTCCTACCATTGCCTGGAAGTGGGCAACTGGCAAGACTCTGCAAGAACCGGTCCGCCCCTCTTCACCCATGTGTCAAAACAGCAGCAGGATCTAAACGCTTGGGGCGGACCATTCAAAAAGCGAACCCACATATTAACCAACGGGTTTACCCGTTCAACCCACTTAAGTGGGAACACCTGGGTGTGTGCTTCTGTTTTTGGTTGGACCCTCCAAAATAACGGCTTCTCCTGTGACTGTGACCCCAAAACGGGTACCTCCAAAAAAAACTATCGCCTCCAGGCGAAAGGCCCTTTCAACAGGTCACCCCATGGAAGGGTCACAGGTAATTAGGGAATGGAAGTCCTTTTTGGAGATAGTACCCTTTGTGAGAAGGTTTTAAAAGGGAAACCAAAAGGAAAAAAACAAAATCTTGTGGGACCCCTTAAAACAGACACCCCCCATTTGTTGGAAGCCGACTTCTTTTCGGTCCGCCTTGAATGCTGAACAGCATCCGTAGCGTCATGGCGCCTTGTCCTCTTCGCCGACTTGATTCGGCAGACCCGAAAGCAAAGGCTTCTCCGGTCTCCGGGTTTGGCTTGAACACTTGGTTTCCCCAGGCGCCCGGTGACGTTGAACGTTTGCCCCGGTATGTCAGCCATGAAATGCGCCATTTGCGGAGATCCCCCGTTGAAACTGGCGAATTGAACCAGACTGATCAAAGAACATAACACGACTTGCCAAGAGCAGTTGCCGTTGCTTTCTCTTGCATTGCAACCTCGTTAAATTGTTTGGTTTCTACGGCATTTCCGGTGTATACCGCTTGCCTCATCTACCTCTGGCAGCTCGAACAGCTTCCGGCGCGGATCCGTTCCCTGCAACCCACGCAAGGTGACCAAGGGAAACCATAAGCGCAAACTGAAGGTGAAGGACTATGGTCCCCATGCTTCTGCACGGCGCGGACACCGTGTTTTCTTTTTTTGTTTTTCCCCCTCTTTTTTTTTCTGGAATCTCTGGAAGACCTCCTTTTGGCATATGCAGTGTGCATGTGGAGAGACCAGGTTACAACTGGCTACCTCAAGCCTGAAGCCCCTTGTGATACGAAAACGGGGATCATTTGCCTCTGGCTTTGAGTGGCTGATTTCCAGCCCACCAGACGATATCAGCTACAGCTATATTGGTGCATGCAATTTCACTTGACATGCCAGAACCCCAAGAAGTTGAGAACAGCGACTGGTTGCAAGTGAAAATCGCAAGCCAAAGGAAGGCCTTCCAAGTGTGGAGTTCTCCTTTTTTGTATTAAACCAGGTAAAAGGATCCAAGAAGAGAAAGTACATCAAAATTGTTTTGGAATGGTTCGTGTACAAGTTGAGCCCGATTTTGAGAAATCCAAGCACGAGAAGACTTCTTGATTGTTAGGTGCATTGGCTTCAACTTGCACGTGCGTTGAGTGTCTTTGGACGGTACTAAGGGTACCCTTCCGATTTTTAGTTTGAAGGGACCAGTGGAAATGAAGCATTCAAGTTGCCAAACATAAAACACATCAATGCCATGATCATTTGATTGAATGCCGCCATGATTTTGACCCTTTTGCCAAAGCTGGGGAGTTCTTTGGATGGGTGTGCCAGCCCCTGGCTTTTGTCTAGAGGGACCCTCAAATTGTTTTACGGCATTTCTGAGTTTGTTTGGGGCCAAAGGGGTGCCTTATAACATTCATTTCATGTCTTTCTGCCGTGGGGATAGCCAAGCTGAACCATTGCAACATGTGAAGCCCGTACCCTCAGCACATCCCCACTTCCGTTCTGTGGACGAAATCCTTTCGCCCCACTTTGAAACCATGGGAACGATTCTTTGTTGGTATGGACAGGGGAGTCGAATCATTCCAGGGTTTCTTAGGCGGCGCAGGATGTCGTCCATCCACAGTTGTTGACCACAGGCCAAGGGCAGACATTCCCCACGCTGAGATTGGGGAGTTGCCGGAAATGCCAAGTTGTTTGCTGCCACCTTCGGTCGCGCGCGCTTTGCCTAGGGGCAGGGTGAAACGGACTCTGGCAGCCATTCTCCTTCTGTGACCTTAGGCTAGGCTCAAAAACTGCTACCGACCCCAAACCGGAAATTACGGCAGCTCCCAAAACTTAGCCAAAACTTGGGCCTCTATCCCTTATTTGCTCTTGGGCTTGCCTCCAAGGGCTACGAACTGGACTGTTGGGTGTCTCGCAAAGTGGGTTTTCCTGCAGAAAAGGGAAAACGTATAGGACCCCCCCAAGACCAAAATGACCGTGTGGCTTCCTTATGGCTGTACCAACTTCCGTTTCAAAGATGTCTTCGAAGGGCGAGTTCCTTCAGAAAAGGATCCTGTCACCAACAACCGCCTTCCCCTGACCTGAAACTACTGGTTCCTCCAAAGCATGTCACCAAACTGGTTCGGGATGGAAAGGAACGCGACGCAGGTGCCTGAGGTTCCTTTGAGTTTTCCCCAGGCCGGCAGGACGCAGCCAAACACAAAGGACACCCAGGCATCGAGGCCGTCGTCTGCCTGATGCGCTATTCTCCCTATTCATCTGAGCGATATACATAAACACATCCACACCGCCAAAGAACACCCTCGACCCAGGGGTACATGGTTGCGTCCGTCAACCTAAGTGCTAAACAAACAATCCGGACTTCATTTCAAGAAACCCACACCGCTCCCCACAAGGAGAGCCGAGGGATGTGCCTTCAAGCATCCCCGTAAGAGTTCCTTGAATTGTTCTCTTGATATCCCCCCCAAAGGCTTTCGCGGGCGCGAGCTCTTCCCGGGTAACGCGAATGTAGTCAAGGTTGCTCCAAAGGAGCAAGAGTAGAAAATTGGGCAGTGGTAAAGGAAATGGGTCTGCATTTAATCAAGGTGTGCTTCTGGCACAATGCTGTATTTTCAGGCAGTTTCAGGCACAATGCGCTCGTTTTGCGCCGGCATCGTTTTAACATCCCCGCATCACTTTCAAAATCCCCCCTCCCCCCCCCCCAGGTTGGCAAAAGCACCACTCAAAGCCAAAAAGTCAGCCCGGAGAGAAACAAACACGCAATCATGACACAAAGGCCCCACAAAGGGACACAAAAAGAAACCAATTTACCGCTCTTGTGGCTTCTTTCAGAGGCTCCTGTCATCCCCTATAACAGGTAACCAAGTAGTTGATTTACCTCTTTACATGATGGTTATCCCAGTTGATTGGGTGTTTTTTCAGGTTGCCCAAATTGGCGCAACGGTTCTCCTTTTGGTTTTTCTGAAAAACCGACAAAAACAACGTGTAGCCCTAATCAAAGCACACCCAGTTAGCCACTAAAAGGGGACTGGAAGCGTTAGCTTCCCCGAGCTTCTGGCAAGCTGAGCCTCCATGCCCTGCGAGGTGTCGCAAAGTGGACCATGAGTTTCGTTCTTTAAGGGCATTTTAAGGGGTGACGTGTGGCATTTCCCTTTTTGGAACCTCCAAACATAAATTGCAACCAATTTGACGGGGAAATCCAGCGACACCTGAAGGTGGATGCATTTTGGAGCGGTTCTCAAAATTGTGATTTGGGGGTGAAGATGCCCGGTTAACCACAAATTCAGAGGGTGTCAATTCTAGTGGACTGGGACGACTTCCCGAATCAACACTATGATTTGCTACTGCAATCTACCCTACCAACAAACATGGGAGTGCACAGGCGAACGCCTGCCAGAAGGATTAGCCCTCAACCACAATGGGTAAAACATTGGTCCTTTGAACATAGCCTACCCGCAAATTCCAGAGCATTCAATGATTCAATGCTCAAAGATCGATCTGGGTGGATCGCCCGAGTGGCAACTGTTCAGCCCTTGCAGCTCAGGGAGCTGGAGGGGTTTCAGATTTCCTCGCATTTCGCCTTCACACCTCGCCCTACCAAACAGAAACCCACTGTGTCACTTTAACATGGCAGCTACGCAGTGATATTTGAAACCACAAGCGAGATCTAGGGAATCGATGGTCAGCGTTGTTGTGGAGCGCATCCCTTAGGCACTCACTTGGAACTCGAGCGGTACGCAGCGCATGGACTGGGGCCTTCCCGTGCAGTCAGTTCCCACACCAATGCACCGCGCGAGTGGGCGAACCAATGCATGAACCGCGTGAGCCGCTGAACCTCCACTTTCAAGTAACCAGAACGCGCGACTTTTTGGCCCCGGGACTCGGGACTTTGCAGCCCCGCACACAATAATAAACAACCATACACACAAACAAACAAACAAACAAACAAACAAACAAACAAACAAACCAACCAACCAACCAACCAACCAACCAACCAACCAACCAACCAACCAACCAACCAACCAACCAACCAACCAACCAACCAACCAACCAACCAACAACAAACAACAACACAAAAACAAACTATTTAGCCCCGAGACTGCCCCGCATGCACTTGCACGCCACATAGCCAGAACAAAGCCGGACTTTTCAGCTTGTGGATAGGGCCCAGACCTGTGAAGTTGCTTCGCGTTGTTCAGCTCGCCCTTTGATGTCCACCATCCAGCACCCACCACAACTGGCTTTTTTCCATGTCCAAAATCCCAAGCGCAGTCCAAAAAGCAGCAGTAGGGGGGTACTGAATATCAAACAAACGAGGGTGCCTTTTTTCTCTCGGAAATCCCCTCAAACGAAAAATGGCGTCCCTCTTCATCGAATTCCACCGAGGTAGAACGGGACTCACCCTTCCCGAGACCTTCCCGACCCTTGGCATGCGGCAGGGAAATCATCGGATCCCCCGCCCCTAACCCCAAGTTGCAAGGCTGTGAGTTGCGGGATAGGGAAACTAAGCAAGGACTTGGGTTGGATCAGGTTTCCTCCCTTTGCGAATACAACCCCTGGAAAAAGTGACATATATTTCAAGTCGTGATAGCTTCCCTTTCAACCAGGGAAGGAAACAAATAGTCTTAAGCAAATGGGAAGGTTCTTTGTTCTTCAGGTTTCCTGCCTGACCTCACTTCAACTGTCTTCCCGTGGACTTGTCCCTATTGCTTTCGCAAGTTGGAGCATCCATATCCATTCAGTGTGGGTTGTGGGTTGTGCTGAATTGGGTTCGGGTTGGCTAACAGTTGGTTTAGTTCCGATTCCTGGTATATTGGCAAGCAACTTGATTCTTCGCAACCATGTGGATAACAAGAAAACGCAAAACCGCAAAACCAACAAAAATGGGTGTGAAAACAGGGGATTGAGTGAAAATGCAATACCTTGCTATGTTGCACCTAGAAACAAAACCAGCAACAGAACTGAAACGCTTGGAGATGCCTGGAGTCGACGGTGAAGCCTTGGACCTCCAGTTCCTTTCGGGCCGAGCCTCGAGTGCCGCATCCGCGCCGGCCTGGAAGGCTGTGTCAAACTAAACTCAACTCACTTGCCCAAGGACCTGGAATTAAAAGGTTAATGTCTTGGGACCGCGCAAAGTGGACCAAACAGAGGACATCCAAAATGGGTAATATGGAGTTGAAAGCAGGTTAAGTTGTCCGGCACCTGTTTTGCGTGGTACTACGGCAGGTGGTGTTATTTCAAACAAATGACTTGCAGGCATCATCGAAACCACACTGGCGCGTGCACGCA